CTCCTCCTCCTCCTCTTCTTCTTCTCTTCTTCTCCTCCTCCTCCTCCTCCTCCTCCTCTTCCTCTTCTTCTTCTTCCTCTTCTCCTCCTCCTCCTCCTTCCTCTTCTTCTTCATCTCATTCTCCTCCTTGTGCTCGTCCTCATCATCTTTTTCCCTCCTCCTCTTCTTCTTGTTCTCCTCCTCGTCCTCTTGTTCTTCATCTTTTTCCCTCCTCCTCCGCCTCGCTCCCCGTTGAGCCATAGCCATAGCCATCGCGATTTGTTTTTGTTTTTTCATCTTTCATCAGATTCTTCTTCTTCTTCTTCTTCTTCTTCTTCTTCTTCCTGTCCTCCTCCTCCTCCTCCTCCTCTACTTCCCTCCGCGTTGAAGCAGAGCCATAGCCATAGGGATTTTTTCCTTTTTTTCATTTTCGGGGTCAGATTCTTCTTCTTCTTCTTCTTCCTCTTCTTCTTCTTCTACTCCATTTCCTCCTTGTTTTCTCCTCCTCCTCCTCCCCCCCCTCCTCCTCGTTTTCTTCTCCTCCAACTCCTCCTCCTCCTCCTCCTCCTCTGCTTCCCTCCCCTTTGAGTCAGAGCCATAAGCCCCCCCCTACCCAACCCCCTCCCCCCTTCCCCCCCCCTCCCCCAACCAAAAAAAACATTCTGACTTTGCAAGTTTTAATGCGGAATCCGACAGATCTCAGCGAGCGCAGTCGGATGCTGCAATCAGGAAAAAAAATAAAAAAATCTGGGCATTTTTTAGGGGCATCCGGTTTTGCCGGTTCACCCCCCCGGGACCGGTCCGGCCCTGGTTGGACCGGGGCAGGTGATCCGGCCGGTTGCTGCCAGCCTTGATTTAAAGTTGAAAAAAGCGAATAAAAACCATGCGATTGTAGATCTCAAAACGATCTACAACCCTAAGGTTTCATATTATTTTTTGCTTACTGCAAGGATTTTACCCCTCGGCATTCCTGCATAAGGCCCCTGCAGCAAGCATGTGCCCGCCCTAAGTGAAGGCGCGCCCTGGAATCTAATGAGGCCTGTGTTCATCAATTTTGCAAAGCTTTGGTGGGCGCGCGCCAGTTTTTACGTGCACTTCGCTCGTGAGAATCAGAAAATTTTGTGAGCCTTCGAGGCGCTTCTCGCAACGTGGGAAAAGTAGGGAACACCACACGTTTGCGCCTTGGTGGTTGGCCATTTCTAACTAAATCTGTCCCAGGGCACTGTCTGAACGGGCCTGGGCGTAGGCACGTTGTCCCCATTTCCAGGCTAGAGGGCACACGTGTGGCCCAGTGTTACATACTGCATTCCACACGGGCCGTTTCAGGCCCGACAACTAGGCTGAGGGGTTACTAGGGCCTGGACGCGATAGTCCAGGCCAGGCCAGCCCAAAGGCCGGACCTTTTCAGGCTGCCCCTTTGGCCTTGCGCAACCGGTTCCAGACCAGGCCCTGCAGCCGCAGGCCCTGGGCGGGAAATGGCCAAACATTTTCGTTTGGACCAGGCCACCGTTCAGGCAGCCTGTTTTCCCGAAAACCGGTCCGACCTGAACCGCGGATCGGATGATAGATCCGACGGTTCAGATCGTAGGCCACCTTTGGAGGCAGAGGCCGAACTGGCCGCCGGCCGGTATTTAGGCCCAGCCAACAGCCATTTCCAGAAGGGGAGTGCGGCAGCACTGAGGAGCGAAACGCTGCACTATTTCTGTTCCAGCGCAGCGCTAGGTGTAGCGCTGGCTGTGGAGGGAGAGAGAGCGAGGAGGGAGACTTACCTGACAGCAACCCCGAGGGACATAGCTCCCAGCAGCACAGACATCTCCAACAGCAGCCAAGGCGCCACGTTGCATCATTAGGTAGGGCCTAGGGCTACTCGCCATCTCCACCGATGCTCTGCCCCTCTTAAGTTCTTCTTCTTCTTCTTCTTCTTCTTCTTCTTCTTCTTCTCCAGACCCCTTCTTCCTCTTCTCCAGATGAGAGACTTTGGGTACGAGATGGACAGAGGTCAGTGATTGGACTTCGGTGGTAGGAGGATGTGAGACTTACCAGATTCGAGAGATTGGAGATACTTGGGATTGATACCTGGCGGCATTATAGATCGGACATCGTTTACATCAGGATTCTGTACCTCCGACATTGGTGACTATGTCCACGGCATTCTGATTTTGTTCGGTGACATTTTGGGCTACTATATCGGTGACATTCGGGACTCTATTTCGGTGACATCTGGCGCTGTCCCTATCTCCCACCTCCATCGTCTCTCCTCCCACCATTCATCTGTGTATGGGTGTATGGGGCTGAAGCATCGTCTATGTATGGCTTCAGACTCCGCCATCTCACGATTGTTTGTGTGTTGAGTTCAGTCTAGGTGAGTTCAGTCTATGTGAGTCAGTCCATTTCTCAGACTTCCGCTGCATATATGCTCATCCTATATTGGTTGATCTTTGGTTCTGCCCATACTTGTTGAAGGTTTTCGGTAGTATGCAACAGTTTGGTATCGGAGCAGACCAATTAAGTGGATCTGCTCGCAGGGTAATTCTGATTAGGGAATCGATTGCTGAATTAGCATTGTCTTTTCCCGAATTAGTTCTGCATTGCTATCGAAGATTCAATTTGCAAAATTCGATTTTTAAATTCGGTATTCTATTCGGTATTGAATTAGGATTGCGATAATTTTTCGGTTTTTCGCATTGGGGGAAAATTCGTGTTTCCGCGAAATCGCAGAAAATTAGGGTTGGAGTCCGAAAATATCGCTATTTTTTTTTCCCCTAATTGTTGAAAATTCCGAAAGCGGACTTCGGCCTTCTGAAAATCGGACTATTTTAGGTTGAAATTCCCGAAACTTCACGTTTTTTTTTTCCCAAAAATCCGGGTGTTTTTCCTTTCCCCTAGTTGTCCGAATTTGTTTTTCTCGTTTGGCAGACTGTCCGAAATCGTTTACCCCCTGAACTGCAACTTCCGGGAAGTTCACTAACAACGGTGAACTCCCGGACCATAGGTGATCTCAACGGACACCTGATCTGTCAACATTTTAAATTTCATATTTTAAATCATTATTTAGTCTTATTCTTTATTATTTATTTCTTGTTTTCGAAATTAAATTGTTCGGGGGGAAAAGATCATCTTTTTCTTTTGATTAGGAGTCCAGTCCACTCTGGGACAGGGGACTGTATGTTGATTGTTTATTCTGTTCTACCCCTGTTCCCACCCTCCCTGCCCTCCCCGTGTCTGTGACCACCGAGATCTCCAAGTACCACATCAGCTGGTGCTGATGTCGACGGAACAGGACACCGGGGCACTGCCACGATGCAGTGCCAGGATTGCAGTTCGTAGCCACTCTGTGCTACCTCCACGGGCTAAGTATCAGCAACAATGACTCAGCAGGAGAACGACTCCAGCGGCATCCAGTACCAATGCAGCAGCTGCAGTACCGGTCACCGCAGGGTTCCTCCCGGCCTGTCCGGTCCAAGGGGACCATGAGACTTTGGCAGCTTACCTTCAGCGGGTGCAGGCATTCACAGATGCCGTTGCCACAGCAAAGGCAGAGCAAGAGGCAGCAGAAGCAGAGCATCAGAGGCTTGCCAATGAGGCAGCAGCCCAAGCTCAGCGGACTGCTGAAGCTGACGCAACGGCTCGACAAGCAGAACGCCGTCAGCGCTGAGTCCTTGATTCAGAATGAGAGTCAGTGGACAACACTACTCCAAGGCATGACCTTTGTGCCTACGGACGAGCAGGCGGATCCGACACCGGCGGAGGCGGAAAGGAGTAACCTGGCTAACCTGATGCTGTGCATGATGAGGGCAGTAATGTGGAACAACACGATGCAGACAGTGCACGCGCACATTGGACGGCAGCTGAAACAGACTCAGCAGAGAGAGTCTTCAACCTTGACAGCCGCCATTCGCGCAGCAGCACAACATCAGCAACAACAGCAACAGCTGTTGGCATCCACTATCACACACGTCAACAGCATTGAGGCTAAGCCCTCAGCAGCACCAGGCTGCACGACGGACATAGCGAAGCAGCTCGGAGAGCGCATCGACCATGTCGTCAACATCATAGGCAACCTGGCTGACTTTACCAGTCCGGACACGATCAGCAGCACGGTGGCCGCCATCAAGACAGACATCACCAAACTGCAGTCCCGACCGGAAGCTGCCCCGAAAGCATACAAGATGCCACGCTTCAATGTCAACAAGTTCGACGACTACAACAAAACGGATGCATTGGCATGGTGGCAAGCCTTCGTCACCGAAGCAGCCTGCCACCACGTGCCGGACGACCTGATGGTGACAGCACTCTACCTCCAACTCAAGCCTTCGTCACCGAAGCAGCCTGCCACCACGTGTCGGATGACCTGATGGTGACAGCACTCTACCTCCAACTCATTGGAGGAGCACAGGCATTCATGAACCACACAGCGGCCAATCTGGGAACCACCATCGCCAACCTGCACACGCACATGAAGTGGGAGCAGCTCGAGCAAATGTGGCACACTAGATTCATGGTCCGCAATGTAGTAAAGGCGACCATGAACAACGTCTACTCCAGCTCGCAAGGGAACATCTCAACACGAGACTGGACGATCAAGTGGCAGAAGATAGTAACCACTCCTGATTTCGACTTAAGTTTCCCAAAGCTGCGATCCGAATTCTTTTCACGATCGTGCGCAGGACTGCGGTCGGCACTCGATAACGAGTACGACTATGCCTCATTCAAGGTCATCCTTGACCGCGCTAACCTGGTCATCCAAACGGATGACAAGGCCGCCAACAAAGGCAGTCCCAGCCGCAATATGTGGCTAAGCAAGGCTACCAAAGGCCGGCGCATAACAATGCGGTGATCGCTCACGGATCACCTGATCTCCACGCTGCAGCAGCCTCCTTGAGTGATGGAGGAGTTGTCGCAGCGCTCCCACCGAAGTGTCCTAAAAGGATTCGGAAGAACAAGGCGACACAAGGGACGACAGCGACGGAGACTGGGCAACCATGGACGGCGTACAAGATCACCAAGGAAGTATTTGAACTTCGACAACGGTATGGGTATTGTTTTTGGATGCACAATGCCCGGACAAGGACGAGGCAAAGGTACCCCGTCCAGCTAACTCGGGAAACTGAGTTGCGGATGGAGAGGGGCGACACCTCTCCACACTCCGCCGAAGCCGGTTGCCTTGCTAACAACCGATATCACTGTCGGGGAGCATGCGTTAGTCGCTGATTCTCGTTACACATACGAGGATCATGCCGCCCAGTTGGTGCCACCATTGGACCAGCCTAGCCACGTGCACTTAGATATCATATGCGTAACTTGTACACAGTCGGCAAGAGAACCGTTCAGTTCGCCACTTATTTCTGAGGACTCGACGACGTGGTCAAGGCTTGAGAACCTCGACCCGCTCACGAGAGAGGACTTCTCTTGGATGCCTCTACCCTCCACCGGATCTTTGCCAAAGCCGCATTGTAACGCCTTGATGGCATATCTACGCTCCTACTTGCATGCTGTAGTACCACCTCTGTTGATGGACGACGGAGTAGCAGTTGTCGATCTCCGCTCCGATCTTGTGAAGATTGACCACGAGTACGCCACCCAAAGGTACGTCGAAACCGACGTTGCAGTGCCTTGATTGATTGCGGAGCATCTCGCAACTTTATGAGCCAAGCCTTTATGGCCCGCGCGGGCCTCGGCCCCCACGTTCGAAGGAAGATGCAACCTATGCAAATCACACTCGTGGACGGCCGCACGCAAAAGTCAATTGACCGATGCGTTGACAGCGTCCCGATGTACTTTGTGCCCCGTGCGTGTGAGCCGGTGTCTTTCGACATCCTCGACACCAAGTTCGACATGATTCTAGGCATGTCTTCGTTGCGTAGCGCCGACCATCCGGTAAACTTTCATGACCGAACCGCTCACATCCGTGATCGGAACGGAGTGTTACAGTGGCGACTCCTCACACTTCGAATGCTTGTTACGTGGTTTTCGTTGTGAGGATTCGCGATGCCATAGCTCGGAATGACGTAGAGGAGATGGGCCTTGTCTTCTTACACGCCCTCCCCTCGTTGGACGGACCAGCCGCGTCGCCGCCGGACCCACGCATTACCCACCTCTTAGATGGATATGGAGACGTCTTCGAGGCTCCCACCGGAACGGTTTCGGATCCGCCCATACGTCACGGGATTACTCTCGAGGCTGGTGCCGTCCCTCTGCGTGGATGCATCTACCGCATGAGCGAAGAGGAACTCGAGGTGCTTCGCGCACAACTCGACGACCTCCTCGACAAAGGCTGGATTCGCCCTAGTTGTTCGCCATACGGTGCACCTGTTCTCTTCGTCCGGAAGAAGAACAAGGACCTACGGTTGTGCATCGACTATAGAAAACTTAACGCACAAACCGTAAAGAACGTCGGCCCTCTCCCTCGGATCGATGATATCCTTGAGCGGTTGGGCAGCGCGACATACTTCTCGAAGTTGGACTTGAAGTTTGGGTACCACCAGATCGAAATCCGGCCTCAAGACTGGTACAAGACCGCTTTCAAAACGCGGTATGGGCATTTTGAGTGGGTCGTGATGCCATTTGGACTCACCAATGCCCCGACAACCTTCCAAGCAGCCATGACGACGGAATTCCGAGACTTGCTCAATCGTACCGCCCTCATCTACCTTGATGATATCTTGGTCTATAGTCGGACGCTTGACAAGCACCTCGTATACCTTCGTGCTGTTTTGGATCGTTTGTGAGCAGCCAAGTACAAAGCAAACCTCGACAAGTGTGAATTTGCCAAACAAGAGCTTGAGTACTTAGGCCATTATGTAACGCCGAAAGGCATTCGTCCCTTAGCGGACAAGATCCAAACCATCGTGGATTGGCCTGAACCCCGTTGCACTACGGACGTACGCTCTTTCATGGGTTTGGCTGGATACTATCAGCGCTTTGTCGAGTCTTACTCCAAAGTGGCAGCCCCTTTGTCGAGACTTTAGTCCCCGAAGGTACCATTTGAGTTCGACGACGCAGCTCATTGTGCGTTCAATACGTTGAAGGTGGCGATGCAAGCTGCGCCGACCCTCCGTATTTATGACCCCACCCTACCCACGGAAGTGACTATGGACACTTCCGGATACAGTATTGGTGCGGTGTTAGAACAATACCACCCGGACGGTTGGCACCCGGTCGAGTACTTCTCCCAAAAGGTGCCTCTCGTCAACTCTCTCGACGACGCTAGGAAGAAAGAGTTACTCGCGTTAATCACTGTTCTCAAACGGTGGCGCCACTTTCTTCTCGGTCGTCGGCGTTTTAGATGGAACACGGACAATAATCGGTTAGCCTACTACAAAACGCAGGACACGGTCACTAGCACAATCAGCCGATGGATGTATTGCATCGACCAGTTCGACTTTGACCCATGCCATATCCCCGGGCCCGCCAACCGAGCAGCGGACGCCCTCTCACGACGACCCGATTTCTTCGCCCTAGTGACTACGACGTTCCACCTCGACGACGATCTGCAGCAACACTTTCTCAACGGCTACAAGTCCGACCCGACATACTCCACGCTATACGCGGAGCTCTCATCGGATCACCCGCCGGCCGGTCACTATCGTATCTCCGACGGGGTCCTACTCCCCCACACGAGAGGAAAGGACTTGTTAGTGGTGCCCCAAGATCGCATCTTACGGACTCGCCTCCTTGGCAAATTCTAAGACGCACGACTTTCAACACACCTTGGCGTGACATGCATATTGGCCCTCCTCCGCCAGTGTTTTCACTGGCCGGACGTTCTCTGCGACGTCACGAGGTACATTGAGTCATGCGCAGTTTGCCATCGTAACAAAGGTAAATCTCATGTCCCTTATGGCGATCTGAAACCGTCGCCGATTCCCCGGGCACCTCGCCTCTCCATTGCTATGGATGTTACAGGCCCGTTCCCCCGCGATCGCCTCGGTCATGATGACATCCTCACGATCGTTGACCGTTTGAGCAAGTACGCTCATTTTCTTCAATGCAAGTATCATGCTACAGCCCCCGAGCTCGAACGACTCTTGCACACCGGCTGGATTACCTGCCACGGTGTTCCGGAAGACATTGTGAGCGACAAAGACACTCACTTTATGTCAACCTTTTGGACTTCCCTCATGGCAAAGTCCGATTCGACTGTGAACCCGAGTTCCGCACAGCACCCGCAGATGGATGGGCAGACAGAACAAGCACATCAAACCGCTCAAAAGATGTTGCGTACACTCATCCATCCCGACCAAAAAGATTGGGTTGACCGGCTTCCCGACATCGAGGTCGCCTATAACACTTCAGTGCACCCTGCGATCTGTACCACTCCATTCGAGTTGCATCACGGTGGAGAGAAAGCCCGAGTCTTTGCCGATCTTCTCCTACCATGGGCCGCCGTCATCGATGTCACTTGCATTCCCGCTTCCTCTCGGAAGTACTGTGACGCCCAACCTCACGCCCAACGTGACTTCCTGATCGGAGTGGGATGGGGCCCCGAAAGTGTGAAAAGGAGGTGTGCCAAGGATTTTAGGAAAGTGGGTGTGGAGTCTCAGGTTGGAACTGAGATCTCCGGTGGCAAGTTTAGGGACAACGGTGCAAGATGGTACGCGAAGATCGTATCTGGCGTTTCATCCTTCGGGGATGGGACTATGGTCTCTGCCAGTTGCGTCGCCGCGACCGGTCCCTTATTTGGTGGACCGGTGGGACACCATGGCTATCGCGTTGTTCGAACAGTTGTCCGCGCCGCTCGTAACAAGCATCGGAATCCGACGAGGCTGGTCGTAAGCGGAGGCTGTGTAATCACTGCTCGGCTTCGGTTCGGGTTCGTCGGATAAATCCCGAAGCTCGGTACGCCTGGTACCGCTGACACACTTCGCACGATGTGCGGGGCCAATAGCGAGCTATGGAATTCCATGACACCACTGTGAGCTGGTGATATGGAAGGAGGAGATGGAAGGAAGGGAAACTGGTATTAATAACGACGAAGCCCGTCGTCTGAGATGCTCATCCTCCCAGTATTCGCGATACTCCGGGTCCCTCGGGCTCTCACGATCGGTGATCCAAAAGGGAATTTCTACAGCCATATCCGACTAGTGAACTCGGTTTTCACATCCCTTGTAGTGAGCCAGGGTCGAGGTCGACTCATGCAGACGCGCTCGTACGCTGCGATTCGGTTTTCTCGAGATCGTGGTCGTACGTGAGCATGCACAGAAGCGAAAGTGGGTCGGGCTCGGATTTCTCGTGTCGGTGTATCAATTGTGTCCTTCATGCATGCACCTACCTATGTTATTTTGGATGAGATCCAGTCATTTCATTCACACCTATGTCATTCAGGTGACGAAGGAAAAGAGAAGGGGAGGGGGGGCGACAATTGTCCTGGCATCGAGGGATAGCACATCACGACCCTCTCGGTGATCTGATGACGATCAAAGGCTAACAATTAAACCCAAAACTTCCATAGCGAGGGTTTTCGATCAGACCCGGGATTGTTGCTTGACACAGTTGGATGGTCGACACAGATGGATACTAGAAAGTGACGAAATAATTAAGCATGCATCACAAAACAAGATAAAGGAAAAAGGGTTCACATCCATGTCATGCATACACACGAAGCAAAGGTAACAAAGAAAATCCGAAACGATTTACAAAGAAAGTCTGAGAGGGCCGCAACAAGATCGGCCAAAGTAGAAATCAAAATTATACAGATAGTTGGAAGAAGAGACTTCATCCCACACATAGCTACTCTCTCTCTCTCTCTCTCTCTCTCTCTCTCTCTACATTCCCCGATGCGGGCAGTGCGTCGCCCCGCATCAACACAGAGTTGTCACCCCGCTTGGTTCGAGCATGCAAGTCAGGTTCGCCCGTGCGCCACAGTCCGTCGCGGCCCGCACGTCAACCCCGCATACCTGACACCAGCTCGTCGGATCGCCCAACTCTCTCGTCGACTCACCTCTCAAGCTGACTCGTTAGCCAACCCTCACCAATGTTGCTACCTCCAAAGTTCATAGAGAGCAAACGAATCGCGGTTGCCAATTTTATAGCATGCATGCTTGCGCGGAAGATACGGGATTAAGCCCAAGCGATCAGGAGGAAAAGAGAGGAAGTGCCTACGTCTGCATGGCCAGGCTGCGGCGTGGGGGTCGTAGCCGCACTCCACACATCGATCCGGTCGTGCAGGCGTTCAGGCCAATTAGGACGGAGCATTAAGCATGCAAGACAAAGAAGAAAAAGTCGGGCAAACACAAGGAAATCAAGAAAGAAGAAAGATACAATTACAATCGCGCCCGCCAAAAACGACAGTTACACAAGATTAAGGGTGCGATCCAGTCAGAGCCTAGTTCCAACGCCGCAAGATGTGCGCGAGTGAGAAGCGCGGCGCAACAAAATTCAGAGTACCTAAATTCCTAGTCGAAGTCCTAATTGCAGAAAGAAAATTCTGAGAAACCCAAAAACAATTCTGCAAGCCCGTGGGGGCTCAACATCGGTAGAAAAAAAAAAAAAAAAACGATACTCCCGCGTGATGATCGCGCCAAAAATTCCTAGTGCTTCCAACAAAATAAGAAAGAAGCCATGGCAACCGTTATCCATCGCGCTCGTCAAGGCGCGGTTACCCAATCGCCGACGCGGGACTTTCTCGACACCAACCCGATAGATTCCACAGAAAACAAAAAGAAACGAGGGCATCCATGCAATTCGCCCGACCGACCCATCTCTCCACAGCTCGTCCATCCGACCCGTCCATTTCCTCGAGGCAGCTTTGCGCAGAAAGTCGGGCGACTACAAAAAACAGCTCGTCACATATATGACACCCAGGGGGTTCCAATCTTGAGCAAGCTCCCGCTTGCTCACACACTTATGCGTCAATCTATATCCCAAGGATCGACGCGGAGCTCACACGTGCCACATACCGTAAGATAAAGGTGTGGAAGTAACTCAGTCGTGGCATTCGTGGGCTCTCCCTCGAACGTTTCCGGGGAAGGGCAATCTGATAACGGGAGGAGGAGGTGATGGATGGACTTGGGGAAGGGGAGGTACGAAGCGGCGGATTTCCCTGTCACTCGTGGGGATCGGGGTGTAGTGGACGGTGCGGTGGATGCGGGGGAATCGAGGGTGCTCCCGTTGATGAGGGAGAGAGGCGAGATAGTTGGGGTAGAGGGTGGAGAGGGTGCAAGGGATAGCAGCGTGAAAATTCTCGTAATTTTCACAGGCGGAAATTGTGCTCGAGATAATGCAGTAAATTTTGATATTATTAAATTCCCGCCAGTTTACGCTGAAAAGAAGGACATGGAAAGGAAAGGAGGCGACGAAGGAGCGAGTGGTAGAATGCGAGACGATAGTAATGAGAAGGCGGGTGGCGTAAAACTGGTGGAAGAGAGAGGGCGGGAAAGGGCACCATCCATCAGGGAAAGGGGGTCGGCCCAGGAGTTGGTGAGGGGTGAGGAAGTCAAGGGGACGGCGGGATAACGACCGGGGACGAAGCCCGATCGCCCATATTTCCATGAAGGCGAAGAGTGGCTCGGGATGGCGGAGAAGACGGAGTCGGGGATTCACTCCTTCGGCGGCGTCAACTTCCTGATCCCTTTGCCGCGGCTCCATCAGATTCTTCGCGCGGCGGCTTCGCATTCAGAGACGGATCGCCTAGCAGTAGCTGTGGTGGCGGCCTTTCAGACTCTTCGACTGGCCGTTTGCCTTCTGCTTTCTCCCCCCCCCGCTGCGCTTCAGCTTCTTCCTCCTCTTTGCTTCGCGGGGGACGGCTACTCGACTCTCCCGATCCACTTTCCTCTTCCTCCTCCTCTGACCCAATGTAGTCAGGATTGTCTCGATCGGTGCCCGATTCTTCTTCCCCTGACTCTTCTTCTTCTTCTTCGTCATCGGCCTCTAGTGCGTTTCCTCGCCAGACAAAAGGGTCCCACAGTGTGAGATCGGTGACGTCAATGTCGAGATAGAGACTCGGGGATGGGTAAAAGCAGTTATCCCTGTCCAGCTCCGTGCATGTGGACCACAAAAGATGTGGTGCAAGCGCGCAAGCGAGCACGTCGGTCCCCAACTTTCCGTCACACCTCGACAGGATGTCGAGAGGTAAATCGTCCACCAGCTGCGCCAAAAACACCAGCAACTCGTCCGTGATTGCTTCGAGATGTCCTTCCTCCACCTTGCCAAATAGTATCCCCAACAATTCTTCCTTCGTACTCGTTCGCCAAGCTTGCACGATCAACAGTTCCACCTCATCGTCCGGGACCTCACCCCCTTCAGCTTCCGGGGCTGCCTCCGCCCAATGAAACACCATGCACACCAAACAAAAGATGACCTCGACGTAGGCGTTCCACCACCCGTTCCACTTGCCCTCGTCCAAGATCGGTACGCTGAGTTCCCGGATCCGAAAAGAGAGGGCGGGATGGATAGCAGATTGCCAAAAGGTGGGGAGATCAGACGAAAGGTTGAAGAGGGAGACTGACCATGCAATCAAGCTGTTCATGGATAATTGGGTGCAAGACTTCGGTCTTCCTAAGTCCATAATTAGTGACCGGGATGTTAGATTCACAAGTAAATTGTGGCAAAGCACGGCCCAACAGATAGGAACCTAACTGCAGGTGATGTCAGGGAAACACCCTGAGTCAAATGGTCAAGTCGAGCAAATGAAATGGGTAGTGCAACACCTGGTTCATCTCTATATCAAACCAAGTCAGGATGACCTGTGAAACCGCGCGTTCATTGAATGCGGGTTTTCCGTTCAGAAACTGAACGGAATGCACGCGCGTTCAATGAACGGGACCGAACGCGGAATTCAATTCCGCGCGGGGGAAAAAAAAAAAAAAAAAATGACCCTCAAACAATTCCGAAAAAAAATATGTTATGAAAAAAAATAAAATAAACAACATTTGCCTAAGCATGACATCTAAATTCGTTACCAAATTGGAAACAAAAATAGAAAACAAAAAATAGAAAAAAGTAAAAAAAGAATTGAAATTAGTGAGCGAACACGATTTGACACGGCCATCTTTGGCGATTTTTCATTTTTTTTTTCCTTAGCAAAATGACTCCAAAATTGAGAGGCATGTACCTCACATTGTAAAAAACTCATAAAAAATAAATCCGAAAAAAAAAGTTATTTTTAGGCATCGAAATGTTTTTTTTTTTTAAATAAAAAAATAAAAAAATAATTGAACGCCGTTCAATTTTGAACGCGAATTTAAATCCACGTTCAAACGCACATTTGAACGTGAACGCGCGTTCGCGGCGTTCAAACGGTTACACAGAGGATGACTAGGATGAGAAACCTCTCATCGCCAGCCTGTAGGACAAGGTTGTGCACAACACTACCAGTGTGATTCCTAACCAACTTCATCTTGGCTGGAAGCCCAGATCTGCTCTTGACTTTCTGTTGTCTGAGAACCAGCCAACTGCAGCACCAGGCAACATAGAGTATATTGTCAAGTATGAACAGTTGCTACATTAGGCTGTCAAGCACATAAAGAAGTTCCAGGATGCCGTGGTTGCATATGAGAATAGGCACAAATGACCATCTGCATTTCAGGTAGGTGATCGGGTCTGGGTTAAGTCATATAAGTTGGGATAAGGATTGGGAATCTCCAAAAAGATGATGCCACAGTATTTTGGATCGTGGAAGTTTTGGATATAGTCGGAGATCAATGAGATGGTCCCTTGTATGTCATTCACATCCCACCAGGCATCCAAGTTGGCTCCTTTCGCTGAAACAAATCAGCTTCCCTCCAGGAGAGCAATGCTGCGCCCAACCATGGATGGACATTGACGACATTGTTGAACACAAGCTTATGCTTGTGCCCAAGCCTCCAGGCAGGGGACGCCCCTTAAACCGCAGATAGAGTATCGAGTGCGTTTCATACATCATATTGATCCTAAAGAAGATCAGTGGTTCACAAGAGAAGAGTTAATGAAGACAGCTCGACAAATTGTTTAAAATTACGAAAGAACTCTAAAGGGGAAGAAATCTGTAGAATGAAAACTTCTCAGATGACTATTGACGTAAAGGAGGAGGGAGTGCGAGGATTTTAGCTCTCGGCATACCTACATAAGGCCCTTACAGCAAGCATGTGCCCACCCTAAGTGGAGGCGGGCCCATGAATTTTCAACGAGGCCTGGAATCACCAATTTTGTAAAGTTTTGTGGGCGCCAGACAGTTGACACGCGCCGGTTGGTTACATCCTCCCTGCTCGTGAGAATCAGCAAAACGCACGTGAGCCTTCCAGGCTCTTTCGGAAGCAGACAAAGCAAGGCACACCACACATATGTGCCTGGGTAGTTGGGTTCTTCTAACCAGTTTGGTCCCAGGCCACTGTCTGAATGGCGCTGGGCGCAGACACTTTGGCTGAGAGTGAAGCTACTGGAAACTCGGTCCCACGAGGCAAGCAGCAGGCAGCGGGCTCGCCGCTTTCCATTTAGGAAAGGGGTGGGCTGCGCAGTGCCCATTCGGGCACTTGCTTGTGCAAGCGGCAGCGCTGCTGGAGTGTGCACTTGCGGGCTGCTTGCTGTGCGCTAGCGGAGGTGCTCGTGCACGAGAATGTGGTCGCGAGGAAGTGGGGCGCTGCAAGTGGCAGCGCCTTAGCCCAGCCCCCATAGCCGGGCTCGGGCTTGGACATGGTTAGCGGGGAATGGTGGTGGTGTTCCTGTAGGGGGAGACGTGGGTGAAGAAGACGAGAGAGAGAGAGAGAGAGAGAGAGAGAGAGAGAGAGAGAGAGAGAGAGAGAGAGAGAGAGAGAGAGAGAAAGAGAGAGAGATGAGGATGTGAGGGAATGTACCTGGTCTTGGATGGTCTGCACGGTCGACATCTGCATGTACTTTGGTTGTTGCTGCTGGTCAACTGGTTGCTTCATCACTATGTAGTTTACGATAGAGTAGTTGTGTGATTGTAGTCTGGGCGTTGAGCGCCAATAGGAGGAAGAGCTTCGAGTGCATTGTTGGTGGTGGCGAGTATATGTTTTCATTGACTTTTGCTGCTTTGGTTCTCCATTTGTGTCATCACTACGTATATAACTATCGCTAATTTTCGGCCTGTGACAAGCAGACAATTGGGGCCCTTCGATTTTACACTCTGCGACAGTCCCGATCGTCTGCTGATCGTTTTCTCTTAAAAGTTGAACCGTTACACGTGGTGCCGGGCCTGCATGCCAGCACCGGTACCATGCGTGGTACCGAGTCCACGCGCCCTCGCGGGTGTTGTCGCATGCTACTGCCGCATGTTACTGGGCCAGCGCAGGAACCACGCACGGTACCGGGGCAGTGTGGGTACCATCGCACGTTACCGGGCCAGCGCCGGTACCGCTCAAGATTCGGGGGCAGTGTGCTCTTAGAACGTATAGCAACAAACTTTTGMGCACTTCCGCGGTGGGTAGACTGGACGCCGTCAGTAGACGTCGACTATACTTTCTAAGCTACGGCGACTGGACTCTAGACGGTCTAAGGTACTCGACGACATTGTGGACTGCCCTACTCTACGCTATTCTAAGCTCTGCGTAGACAGGCTAACCTGCTCAACGACGTTGTGGACTGCCCTACTCTACGCTACTCTAAGCTCTACTCTACGCGTTCGACACACACGTGCGCGCGCGCACACACACACACACACAGTGGGCGATGTGGTGAGTCCTTATTGCATCTTGGGCACACTGTCGGGGCTCGGCCTCCTGATGAGTCGGTGAAAGTCTGACGAAACAGTCGGGCATAGTATATTCTCTCTCTCTCTCTCTCTCTCTCTCTCTCTCTCTCTCTCTCTCTCTCTCTCTCTCTCTCTCTCTCTCTCTCTCTCTCTCTTCTCTTTCTCTCTCTCTCTCTCTCTCTCTCTCTCTCTCTCTCTCTCTCTCTCTCTCTCTCTCTTTTTCTCTCTTTCTTTGTGTATGACACACAAACGTGCACAGAAAGAGATTGTTGCTCCTAAGCTTTTTGTCGTGTTGGAGATTGGGCTGTGCATCGGGACGGGCTTTGCATCGAGAAGGTTGGACGCTGATGCTTGGGTTGTGCGTTAGAGTGCGCCAGCATGACTGAAGGTGAGTTATTTCACGCTTTTTGTTTGTGCGTGTTCGTGTGTGTGTGTGCGTGTGCGACCCACTTCGCTCGACGCTGTGATTCCACTGCATGTTGTGACGGTCAACTTCGACTTTGCTACTCTACTCTACGCCTCTACTCTATGCTGCGACGCTCGACCTGAACTATGCTACTCTTCTGCTCGGCAACACCATGCTCAACGGTGTTCACTACTCTACGGTGTGTGAGAGAGAGTGGGATAGCAGGAGCAGGAGCGGCACAAGGTGAAGAAAGGGGAAGCAAGGGGGGGCGATGGGCGCCGGATCGAGCATGCACAAGAGAGAGAGAGAGAGAGAGAGAGAGAGAGAGAGAGAGCAAAAGTGGGGATAGTGGGAGTGGGAACGAGATGGCTGGAGCGGGAGCGGGATAGCGGGACCGGGAGCGGCATATGGCGGAGAGGGGGAGGGGAAATAGGCGCTGGGTCGAGCGCATAATATCTGCTCCGTTCAGTTTCGTATCTGATCCGTGGTCCATCAAGACCTTTTTGTTTTCACACACAAAAAGAAGCACCGAGAGAGAGAGAGAGAGAGGTCCATGGAGACGGTTTAAATGCGCCCAAGATGCGGGAGAGAGACTAATTAGAGGAAGAGAGAGGGAGAGAGAGAGTGACCCCAATCTAACTAACTACGCACCAACCCGCCCCCCTCCCAACGATCAAGTGTACTGGTATGTGATCCATGGTCTATCGAGACTGTGAACAAAAAAACAAAAAAAAGCAGCAGCGTGTGCGCAAGATGCAATTTTATATCTGATCCGTGGTCCACACACACGCACACACACACACACGCACACACACACACACACACAGAGAAAGAGAGAGAGAGAGAGAGAGAGAGAGAGAGAGAGAGAGAGAGAGAGAGAGAGAGAGAGAGAGAGA